AACTACGGTAATACAAGACGCATGCTTGCGCAGTCTCAGCTTGTCCGCTTTGACGCGCGAAGGAAGCGTTTGAGATTGATGCATGAGTGGCCGAGAACGGGTTGGAGGGGTCGTTCAGGGTAAGCGCAAGCGAGCCCCGGCGCGGGACTCGCATGACGAAGATGGAGTGACGGCTGTCATCATGACAGATTTTGGGTATCAAGCGAACGGCGGGTAGCAGGTAGATCTGCCTTGGGGCGAATGAGAGGCGTAGGAGACAGAGTTGCATGAATTGGAATAGGCCACGGTACGAGGAATCTGGATGTTCCAAGTTGTCCTTGGAAAAGCCACACCAGCATACCTAGGTAGATTCACTTTATTCCCCGCAGTAATGTGCCATCAGAATGCACGAAGGTGTACACATCCAGGCTTTTGTCAGCCTAGAAAGAACAAGCTTCAGCATAAAGGGCCGGGTCTTGCATGTGTTGCATTTTGCAGATAGCCGCTTGTACAAGGCCAAGCTAGAAAAATAGAAACCACCACACCTCTCATCAAAAACCAACAAAGATGCAGACGCACACCAAAACGGATCCGCAGCCTATCCAATCCCGCTACACCGCTCTGGCCGTTGAATTGGTCCCATGATCCAGGTCCGTTTGTGTGCAGTCTTGTTGGCCCTCAAGCGTCTTATCTCTATTGCGGCCCCCAGCCAATAGCCATCGCATACACTTGTCTTCGCAGCTGAAGCACCGCGGACCAGGGGGGGTCAAAAAGGTGAGCTCAGGGTGGGCCTGTGAAGATCGTCGTCGCAGCCGGGCAGCGCCTCGACTCCTGCGCTTCGCTCCCACCCGCACGTACGCAACCAAGAAAGTGCGCGGAACGTACCATGACATGGCTTGTGCGTTTGTGTTGGACCCGCTTCGTGCGAAAGAAAGACCCCGTTAACGCGGGAAATCGTGTGTCTGAAAGGATCTGTGTTATAGGTGTCTTGGCTTGTAAGCCAATACTTTAACGCACGTTTTCCCACTTGTTCGCGATCTGGATTTTTTGGTCGTCTGGCTCTTGCTTCTAGCCTCTCGTAACCTTTCCACATCTACGTACCCTATTCCCGCCGCACTTTGCACCTTACTTCATTTAATTACTCTGTCTTCCCTTTCCTGGCTGGTCCGCCCACGTGTTTGACATACGCTTGTATATGTAATCGAATTTCGGAAAGCATTGAGCCTCGGGTTATACTATAAGAACGATGCGTCGCCAACTTCCCCCAAGCCATCTCAAGGTTCCGCCGGGTCCGCATGCGTTTCCAAGACAACAACACTTTCTGGGTCAGGATACAGTTGTCGTGAACCATTACTCGGGTTTTGAAAAGGCGATTCCTGCGATACCGTCTTTACCGGGATTTAGGACCAGTGCTGGTATGTTTGGCTCTATTTGGTTTTCTTGGGGATGGTCGTGTGCTCGGTTGCCGCGACTGGGGTTGTGATGTCAACCATGCAGCGACTTCGACGCGCGAGATTTTTGGGTATGAATACGAGCTAACGCGCAACAACAGCATTCTTGACGTCGCTGAGCGCGAACCTCAGGATTGATCCAGATCTACCATCGCCGCTACCCACACCAACCTCGTTCCGATTGAACAACTTCGTCCAAGAACTTCCCTCTACATCGCTGTCCTACTCAACGCTGCCTGCACAGTACAACCCGTACCCTTCGCCTGCCGAATCCCAAGCCATGTCGTCGACCGAACCGAACGCGCCGGCCAAGTCGCCTACGGATGGATTGCCGCAACTCTCTACCTACACTGCTGAGACAGAGGAGGACCGAATCGAAGGCTTACGCTTGGTCGCAGATTCCGTGGCACAACAGCGCCAGGTCGCCAGCAAGGTCATGCTGTTCCATCCAGTTTCACTAGCCGCATACTTTGTGGTTGTGGCTTTTGCTGCGCAGTACATGCTACGCTGGTACGAGGACAAAACGATGTTGGCTACAACCATTGGAGGCATCACTATGACTTTCCTCATCTTCATTCGATGGATGACCGGTGGCTACATTGGTATGGCCGAGGATATCAACATGGATTGGCTGGGCGATGATAGGCTCATCGTGGTGAAGTGGGGTGAGGACGTCATCGGATCCTTGGTATTGGGTTGGGCCGATAATGATGCCGCGAAGAAGCGAGGCAGGAGAAGGCGAGGCAAGGCCGTTGTACGCGCTTGGACTGTAAAGTTGAAGTATCGCGGCAAGGGTGTTGGTGGGGGCTTGTTGGAGGAGGCTGTCAAGGTGGCAGGAGAGCGAGGCGCAGATGGTATTATCTTTGATGCCGACCATGCCAGTAAGTTCACGTCTACTCATATCCTCAGGTCATCACTAACAGAACATCAGACTCAAAGCGTATCCTCCCTGCCATCTTCAACGGTTACCTCAATAAGCAAGACGCCAAGGCCGAGAAGGCTCTACAAAAAGTTGCGGACGCGAAGGGCAACTTCCGCCAGCGTCAGAGCTCGCCCACTTGGGGCAGCAGGTAGACACATACCACAATTTTTCTATTTCAGGGCAGCAGATGGGGTGGTGTTTTGCTTTCATTTTGGCGCGGCGACGAGTTTTCTACTGGATGATACCCCATTCCTCTCGTTGATGATACCCCAAACGATCGTTATCGTTGCTAGCATCAAGCTTTCCGTACTTGCTTTCCCATGTTACCGTTTCGGTATCGAGATCTTGTCGTTATCGTCATCATACATATCATCAGAGTCATAATAGACGATTACAGAGTAGTCTTATTGGTAGATCACAATGACAGTGTCTAGCAGTTCTAGTTGCATAGCGGCCAACTCCGGTGACATGATGGCTTGCATCCCGCTTGAAGCTCATGGATTAATATTCACTGATACGGCCGCATACCCGGCTGTTCCGCACACCATCCTCAAACTCTGTGGTTGTAAGCCGGGAAGCCCTTATCGCGACATGTTTCCTGATCCATAGACATGTGGGAAGACAAGCCGCATGTACTGATAACGATGCATTAACCTTTCGATATCAACACCTTGGCGTCAGATTCCGGTTCGCTGGTAGATTTGCCCCGCGTTGCTCGCTACTGCCCCTCCATGTACAAGGGGAGATTAGGCTTTCCAGGCTTTCCGTCAATGTTGCATGATGCATGCCAAGTATGTACATGCGGAACCGTAGGCGATGGCTTAGCAACGCCGATCTGTAGGGAAGTTGGATTCTGTACTGATAGCGTTCCAGACTCTTCACGGGAGAGAAGGCACCACCGCCGTTACTGGTCAACCTGCCTCTCTCGCTCTTTTGTCGGTTTGCATGTGAAGTTGCAAGCTGACACACCGAACCGCCGTGCAAGGCTGTACAAGAGCAGTTTCGGACTCCGAGTCTAATCGGATTCAACGCGCGGCTGCACCGGCCTCTGTGTCACCGTCGACTGAACTCGTTGGGTATTCCTCGCGTAGCTGCAGTATGACTTTCTGTGGCACAGTCAGTATATTTAGTACTCAGGCCAAAAAAGCCTCAACTTCAAAGCGACAGTGCGAACCGCGCGCGAGGCGATCTGCTGTTACACCTTGCTGTGCCGCAGAGCTACGTACCGCTAATGCCTCTGGGTTCGCGCCGTTCTCGATGAGCGACACGCAGTAAGACAGTTGCTGCCGATCAAGGTGGGTGTTCTGGGGCTTATGTCAGATGTTGGGCGCTTCAGTAAGGCGCGGTGTTTCGTACTAGCAATGTTGCGATTTCGTGAAGAATGTCGATGACTTCGCGAGCGGCCTTTCGGCGGGCGTCGGCTGAGGTTTGCTCGGCGGCTGGCATTGTCGGTGTACTGTGTAGGTCTGGAGCTCCTTGAGATAAGACGAGTCTGCAGTTGCGGGGTTTGTTGTTTGTTTACAGTCTGTGGATTTACGCAGTTCAAGTCGCGTGTAGGAAAGAACCCCACACGCGGCGCGTTCCGCACGTGAGCCCCTTGGCGCATCTTGCCCCTCAGGTACTCGATCGGAAAGTCGGTCCTCACATCACAATTCCTTCACAACAAAGATGGTGTTCTGACATCATCATCATTATGACGACAGATGGCCCACTGGTGCTCAAACACACTATGACAGAGCTACATAATGAGAGCTCGCGTGCTTGCTGGAAATACTGTCTTGCTAACACATAGCTTCATTTGACCATCTGAACGATTCCGAGCTTTTCAGCATCCACAAACTTCAAATCAGTTCTTGCAGTCATCACCAGATCAGACATCATGGCACCAGACCCGCATCAAGGAGGCCGTCTAGAAGACATGGCTGCAGAGGGCACGACCATTCCTGGCGATGCTGGCAAGATGAACGTGGTGAGTCTAGACATCGGATCCAGATATCGTATGCTTCTGTGAAGTACAAGATAATTAACCAAGACTCAGGTTTCACCCTCTGACCACCCAGATCAGACTCACACGAACCTTGCACATGCAGCAGATAACGCTTTCGACATACCGCGCAGTGTGAACGACCGCGGACAAACAGGCGAAGTCATAACTGGTACTGGCGACCAGCTACCGTCAAGTATTGAGAAGAAGAACCTGGATGACGCGGGCTTTGACCCGAGGGCCAAGGGCCACGACCGATATGCGAAACATGCCAGGCAGGATAATCCTATGGACAGCTTGAAGCATGGAGCTGGCAGTCATGACGTGGAGGCTGCGCCCGGTGAAGAGGAAGAGAGTCAGGATGCGCTTCTGAACAAGAGAGGTGCCAAGTAGGTGATGTAAGACGTCGCACTTCCTGTATATATTGTATGACTTCACGACTGAATAAATAGCCAAGAGGCGCGAAATAAACAATTTGAGAAATCTTAAGTTCACTCCCGAGTTGTGATCACAGTGATGTGTTGCATGCTACAGACCCTTTAAGTACCTAGGGCTGTGGATACCCCGCTAGACCCCACACGTGCCTTCCATTTTCACGATCCCGGCAACGTTCTTACTTGTTGCTTGACCCAGACACTTGAGATCAAGCGTTCCTGTCCGCAAAATGGTGTACTACTTCTCATCCAACACGGTTTCACCGTCGGCCTTCATCTATGTCGGCAAAGACAAGGTTGAGAGTATGTAATTTCTGACCTGTCCTCGCGCTCCCAAAGGTTCACGGAACTACACCCGCACATACTGATCGCCTCAACAGACGAAGAGCTTATCAAATACGGCTGGGACGAAGATGTCTGGTTTCACGCCGACAATCTCTCTTCGGCCCATATCTACGTCCGGTTACCCGAGGGCGAAGACTGGGAAAACATGAGCAAAGAGTTGCTGGTGGACTGCGCCCAACTAACCAAGGCGAACAGTATTGAGGGCAACAAGAAAGATAACGTTACGATTGTGTATACGCCTTGGAGCAACCTGAAGAAAGATGGGAGTATGGCTGTAGGTCAAGTTGGGTTCAAGGATCAGCGCAAGGTAAGCGCATTGCCATGAGGCAGGAAACACTTGCGTCACGTCCCTTGGCTCGACCGCAACTTATTGCTCAATTTGCTGATGGCATCTTAGGTGAAGCGCATACATGTGGAGCAGCGAGAAAATCCTATTGTCAACCGTCTTAACAAAACAAAAGTTGAGAAGTACCCCGACCTAAGAGAGGAGCGAGAAGTAAGGCGGGCGGAGTTGAGGAAGCGAGATCAGAGTGCTCTGCAAGCCAAGGTATGTGTATTCCCCAAGTCTCGTTATCCTGCTTTGTTCTGCATGTAGTATGTTCGTATGACCCCCCTTTCCAACTACGTCCGTTCTCATGATCTATCCTGTCATTTGCAATCTCTCCGACACTCTACATCTCCTACCACGGGTGTTCTGATCCAGACGCACTGTTTCGGTTCGCACACGCTACTTCGACTCGCGACTAATGATTTATAGCGCAAAGAAGAAGCCCGTATAGCCAAGGAGCGCAAGGAGCTTGCGTGGCGGAGAGATCATGCCTACGACGATGTCATGACAGAGGAGAGTCTGGAGCAAAACTCCAACGAGAACCGCGATGAGAACTTCCTCGACGACTTCATGTGAGGTCTTTACTCGCATTTGTGTATCCCGCAGATGACGTGGGCACCACAGTAGCAATGGTGTCGGCATAGCGGGGTCGCTTCAACTGGGGTCGCGAACAGTCATGGCTGGAAGGCACAGGCCCATGCTCTCGTTCAACATGCGGATGTTATGGTTGAAGGTATCGTACGCGGTGGTCTTAACCTCGAGGTCCTCACGCGTCCTGAAAGAGTCAGCTGCATGACATTGGAGACGGATGAGAACTGGCTACATACATGGCGTTCTTCGGGTTGTGCTTGTTGCGCCCTCCATGATTCTGTACCCACCATACGAACAGCAGATTCTTCACTATCTTGTGTTCGAGACCGTTCTGCCTAGTCGCATACTGCAGGAACTCGAGCGTGTTCTGTATCCTCTGTGGTTCATAATCGGTCGCGGAGCCTTTACGAAAGGCTAGGCGAATGCGGTCGCGCAATGTATATCGAGCCGGCTTCGAGAACTGGATAGCTCTGAGGCTGTGCCGGTATAGGTGCCTATACGCGTGAAGAACTGCTTGCTGTGACATGTTCTGGAGCCCAAGCACAGCACTTCACGCTGTGACCTCGGAGACTGGGTCGGCGGAAGGTAACGCCGACGCGCGCAGCCGCCACCTGCGCTCCCAGTGCCAACCTCGCCAACTCTTCAACACCACAACACGTACCATCCAACACCCCGCCTGTGCCTTTGCATCGACCGGGGCTTGTAGATACGCAATCCGGATTCGTTCTGGACAATTGCACGACATCGTGACTGCTGCGCTTACCGTATTAATCGCTGAACACGCCGTGTCAGGCCACATAGGGTGCTCACTCGTCCAGTAGCGACTCATATTGCCCTGGTCCGCTGTGGGATCTATGAACATCATCTGCATACCAGAGCCATGACCAGAGTATATCATCCGCGTGCGCAACAGCCGCCCCAGCGCGGCAGTACGCTTGATCAGTCGCGAGCCGCCGTCAAGAAGAGGAAGCCGTACAAGATCGTGCTAGAAGCGGTAACCCAAGAGAAGAAGAAGCTACATTCCATTGTCCGTCGGCGACGCGATTTCATCGTCATATAACACCACTGACTGTAGAATAGCTGACATACGCGTCCAACGCCCCCACTGGCTTCGGTTTCATCCCAGCTGGACACCCCGAATTCACAGAATGGTGCAAAGAGCAGTGTCGACAGCGCAACCTTGACGTACACATCGTCTCTGTGAGCATCCGGTCCCTCCCAAGCCAACAAGTCATCCACTGACAGCGTCGCAGGCCAAGCCGAAGAACAAAACCCACTCCGATCCCGAGAAGCTATCCCACCATGTCCACCGAGTCGGACACCACTTTCCTCTCACCATCATCGAACTTGCCTGCAACAAGTTTGGATATCTCTACGATGAGAGACGCGGCCTGCGGAAGGACAAAGAAGGTGACAGAACCAACTGGATAGCCCAAGAGTTTGAAGACTACTCTTCGCGGCAAGTACAACGAGGGCATCCCGCCACTGAGAAGGAGACCAAGGGTTACATCCACGGCGCCGTTCGCGAGATGTTTCCCAAGATACCAGAGGCAGATCTACAAGCCATTGTTTCTCACGCGTTTGAGGAGGGAACTAACCGGGTAGGTAATGCTAAGGAGCTTTCGTTGGCTCGTAGGGTGCAACTCGCAGTTGTCGCGCATATCCGCCACACATACACAGACTACGATAAGCTGCTCAAGACTGACGGCTGGTCGGAAGCCCGTGGCCAAGTCGAGAAAGTCTCTCTTGCGAAACTCAAAGAGTGGCGAGATGAAGACGGAAAGCAAAGCAACGAACTTGAGGAAACCTTCCGTGAAGTCATTGTTCTTGACGATGATGATGAAGCTAGCAGCGATGAAGGCTCCATGGCCACGCCTGATGAGCGCGAGCAAAGCATGGAAATTGTTTCCAGTCGTGCTACTGCGCGCGATCTACAGCCGGAACTACATGCTAACTACCCGAGTGGGGATGTCCGCAACATGAGACCTTCATCAAGAAGAACCATTGTCCTTCCGCGCTATGCTCCTCCTCCACCGCCACCTGTACTATCTGGCACCTCACGTTTCCAGTCACCTATGCAGCAGCCTTTCCAATCAGTGCGAACGAGGACAAACGATCCGTAAGTGCATACGACAGCTGACATCGAATTCAATACTCACGACTGTAGGCGAGCGAGACCAGCCGAGGCTGGCCAGAGTGTGAGAAACGCACAGCCGATCGTGCGTGAGATCAACGGCCAACTATACCAAGTGAGTGTTCGACAACCAAGCTCTGTGAGCGAGAGAAAACGGTATCCTAGTCCTTGGCTTCTTCTTGAGCTAACACGCATAGCTACAACCTATCAAGGAAGATCGTGGTGCGTCGAGGTTACAGTATAACGACCCTCCTTTGCACGCTGCGCCTCGTCGCGTACAGGAAGGATATGTTCAGCCTCCATCACCTCGTCACAGTGCCTTTGACAGACCACTAGCGCACCCAAGGCGCCCATCAGACCAAGATGTTGTGCTCCCTTCTGTTGAGCCTGAGACAGTCGATTTGACATCACCACAACATATTGCAACTTCTCAGCAGCCTGCCCGAAACCATAACGCGAATCCGAACAGACCATACAACGAGCTGCAATCGCCAAAGCGAAAAGCGCTTCCTTCTTTTGCGGATGACAGACAGTCTCAGGCCGAGCAACACGCCAAGCGTCTAAGGCCCGTATACCGTGAGGAAGCTCGCCCCCGGACTTACGGAGATGATCAAGCAGGATTCCACATGAGCCAGCGCATGGCGCCCAATTATGGGCCAAGGCCACCGCCGCCTAGAGAGCAAGTTATTGATCTGACCACCAGTCCTTACCAGCCACCTTCTAGTGGTGGTAGAGGTTACGATGTCTCTGCACGCCCGGTTGCGCCTGCTGATCCTCGTGGATATGCATATGCTTCTGGACCGTCTCACCGAATGCATGCGCACGAAGTGAGAGGTGCACAGTATGATGTACACCCTGTTGATCCGTCTCGTGCTTACGTGTCTGACCATAGGATGTATGGGAGGCGCGTCCAGCCGAACCAGGACTACATTCCGCTCCGAGAGGATCAGCAGCCACGACGTCTTGAAGATGAGAGTGTGCGATACTTGAGGAGCGGTGTACGTTATGGCGGATGATTGCTTTGACATGCATTGGTAGCAGGACGGGCGGAGTTATACGGTTTTCACTACGGACGATACCCTTTTCCTTCTGTTCATTGCGTTCCTGGAGTCACACATCCTGGAGATTACCGGTTCCAGTCACTCGCATGTCGCGTGTCGTATGATCTGGTTGCAAACCCAGTGCATACTATTGCGAATAGCGAAGCGGATATTGTGCATTGGAGACCATGGTCGGGTGATTGCCAGATATCAGCATGACGACAGCAGGTGTTTGTCAACTATGGATGGATACCAACAGCTACTGGTTGAAAGTAGATGTACCATTGAAAAGAACTCATGTATGATAATGCGAAGCCACCAAAGACGTGCGCAGAATAAACAAAATTACTAAGATACTACCTCCCAACTTGAGTGAATGTTTGCATTTGTCTACATGCTCATTTGATCCAAGCAACTACTTATGCATTTGCGCGTACTTCTCCATGACGCGCTCAACCACTTTCCTAACCTCAGCAGTATCTAACTTTTCTTTCCGGTCCGGTGTGTATACGCCGTTTACCTCTTGCTCGATGTCTGTAAGCTGCGTGTACACGAACCCACAGCAATGCCCTCCGTCTACAATCCCGTCCATCATCTTTTCGATGCGCTTGAGCAAATCCTTGGGATCAGTAGCAGTGGTGTAACCCCAGTCCCTCTTCCTATCCTCTTCACCCGCAGCCGATCGCGCAATGTTGACACCGCCAAACTCTGTGCAAATGACAGGTGCACCAGGAGTATGTTTCGACCCAGGATCCGACAAGCTCTCGATAGGTGCAAGGAAGGTCGGTCGGTTCGACTGCTTCTTCATGATGCCGTCCAGCGTCGAGCAAGTCTTTGTAAGTTCATCGGCGTCGGCGTAGTCGTGGAAAGTGGTCAGGTCAGTGATGACGTGCTCCCAACCACAATTATCGTTGATGGGTCTCGTCGCATCCAGCACCTTGGTCGCATAGTACAAGCTCCTGATGTGGTCTCTCTGCTGCTTGCTCGTGTGCAGATCAGTGTACGCCCACGACTCATTGACTGGTGTCCAAGCAACGACACAAGGATGGTTTCGATCGCGCAAGACGGCTTCCCGCCACTCTTGATCCATGCGCTCTACATACGCCTCGGAGAACGCGTATGCGTTTGCCATTTCACCCCAGACTAGCAGTCCAAGTCGGTCGGCCCAGTAGTGGAAGAGTGGGTCTTCGACCTTTTGGTGCTTGCGGCATCCGTTGAAACCCATCTTCTTGGTCAACTCGATGTCTAACTTCAGTGCATCGGAAGATGGAGGTGTCATGAAAGTCTCCGGCCAGTAGCCTTGGTCTAGGAAGAGCGCTTGGAAGTATGGCCGGTTATTGAGCCGGAAGGTGGAGTTGTCCCAGTGGAGAGAACGCATTCCGGTTGTAGTGTGGACTTGGTCGATGACTTTGTCTTCATTGTCGTAGAGGCGGATAGTCAGATCGTATAGAGTGGGCTCCTCCGGAGACCAGAGGGCTAGGTTGTTGAGCCATGCTGTCGCGTCAGAAAGTGGGGCAGTGGATGTAAGAGGCAGCTGTGAAGTTTGGGAGTCGGAAAGTCGCATGTTGGTGCTCAAGGAAGCAGTGTCTGAGTCTCTTGGAAGAGCAACCTTCTCTGTCTTGCTGACGGGCACACCTGCCAGGCTGGCTTCGAGCTCTACGCTGTATGCATGTCCAGCAGGCCTTCCTATGATTTTGATGCTAGCTTCCAGCTTGCCGCTCTCGATATCATTGCTCTTGAATAGCGTGCCCGCGCTTGCATCTCCAATCGCCACAACAGGCACTGATTCAAGCCACACGCTTTGCCAGATACCGCCACTGGGCGTGTAGAAGATACTCTCTGGCTGAGCCTTCCAGTACTGCTTTCCTCGCGGTTGTGTCAGATCGTGTGCAGAATCAAATACGCGGATGGTGAGTCTTTGGGCCTTCTCCTCCGTGAAGGCATCCGTGATATCGATGTCAAAAGGCACATGCCCACCGCGATGGCCACCAAAGAAGCGCCCATTAAGCCAGATCTTGGCTTCGTAGTCGACGGCTCCGAATCTGAGCACCACACGGTTTCCAGCCGCCTTCTCGTCCATAGTTCTCGGGTCTGCAATGACTCTCTCGTACCACAGTACCTCATGCACGCCCTTCTCCTCGATGCCAGAGGCCGGGCATTGAAACACGTACGGAACCTGGATGTTCCTTTTCTCATGTACAGTATGTTCATTTTTGAATGAGTTACCCTGCAGCAGCTCTTGAGTCCCAGCGGCTATCTTGGCTGTGATGCTGTGCGCTTCGGTGTTCTCGGCGCTATTGGTGTTGGTGGGGTTCACGGTGATCTTGTCCGGGAGAGAGGTCAAATGCCATCCTTGGGTCAAGCCAACATCGTTGTCATCAAAAAGGAATGACCATGGGCCGTTGAGGGGTGTCCATGTGAGGTCTTCGCGAAGGAAGTCGGGACGGGGGTAGGAAGGTGGGGCTGCGGGTGGCATGCTGATTTCGTGGATCTTGGGAATATATGGGATGCGATGACGGAAAAAGCAAGCTGTTACAAGTGAAGACGTGTTATAAAAGTCAGCATTCACGTGAACATGATGCAGCGTGGTGGAGGTGTGGAGAGAACACTGGGTCAAGTGAGCACCAACCCGATTGGGACTAGACTGCTATGGGTACATCATCGCTCCGCATCGTTACCCTTCCTCTTTCCATCTACTTCGGACCGCCGTTCATCAACACAAACACCGCGACAAAACAAGTACATCGACCTAGTCGCATACCACGTCAATGAAGCCAGTACTACTGGCCATTCTTCGCTCCATGCTGTGCGCTAGCGCCATTGTATCCTCCAGTCAGAACCTCCATGCTCGAGCTGGCACTTCTATTGAGCCCAGTGTCACGGATCTGGTGCGGATGCTCGATGTACACGACAGATCCATCGGGGCGAGTGTAATACCCTGACGACACCGTCCAAGGGCTCTGGGGAAACACCTTAGTGTGTTCTGGATGCTCGATTAACGGAAGACTCACAGCAATTTGAGAGGAAGACGATGACTTACGAGGCATGCCGCCCAGAAAGGCGTGGATATCAGCCGCTGAACCCTTATCGCTTCCAGTTGCAGAGACACGTGCGCTGGTAGGCTGTACTGAGGACGAAGTGTTCTCACCTTTAGAAGCCATTGTGCGATACGAGGTAGTGATGGAAGAGGTTTCGATATTTCTGAGACACTGTTCGATCGATGGTGCATCAATCACCTAGCTTGCAAAGACATGGTCTCTATATATTTGATTTTTGAGAACTTTTCTCCCTCCATGTTTTGGGGTCTCTGCCACGATGGCATCAATTGAAGGGTCTCACGAGAAATGCCTTCGTGGCACACGTTTCAAGGCTCGTACGACGGTAAAGTGAACTTTACTCAGGGTCTCATCTGCTGCCGAAGCCGTTGGAGCTAAGCTTCAAAAACAAATAACAAGGCGGTAATGGTGTCAGAGTATCTTTGATTACATAGTGAGGGTCTCACTGTCTTCGAACTATAATCTGAACATGATTGGACTAATCTGACCATGCTGAGCTGATACTGCAGGGTGTCTTTCTGCCGCCAAGGGTAAATCAGGCCCTGATTTTGACATGTCCCTCAGAGCAAGATTGGGGTCTCATCTACTGGACATGGCGGATGACGCTCGCTGCAGTCGAGGCTGCCGACTACGCACGCACGCAACTCTAATAAGGCTGGAAGTTATGCTCAGCATTGAAGACTACACTCATCTCCTTACATTACCTGCTTGACTACGATAGCAGTGGGAGCATGCGCTAGGACCTTATTCGCAGTCGATGCTGCAATTGTGAGCGCCGCTCTACAGGTTAAACATAGCGCTCTCGTCTTTTTAGTTGGCTAGTATATGCACAGCTATCGGGGTGCTGCTCACCTGGTGTTCAGAAAGACCTTCAGATACCTAGGTATGCATACAACAGCGGAGTGGCTGGACCCGTCCTCCTAACTCGATGTGTAGATCAACGAGGTTACAACACGCGTCTGAGCATGAGAAAGCGGTGTAGTTTATGGCGCAAATACTGCCGATTCCAGACTGTTACAGTGGATTAGGCTGGGAAAGGGCAATCACACAGGCTTTACGATGGAGACACCACCTGGGCACCTGAGCAGCCATGTTAACGGGAACCGATCGATGTTCAAGCGCCAGACCCAAAGGAGAGCGACAACATGACGCTAGTGAGGGGGTCTCAGTGAGCCCAGAAATATGTGATTGGACTGTAGCGAAAGGCTGAAAGTGGAGGTGAGGGTCTCAGGATATAGCGTGTAAGGCTGAGATGAAGGACTCGGCGATCTGCAGAAGCTGCGCCCCTTGAGACCCCCCTCGCATCCCCGCCCCCACCCTATGCAGCTCAACCTTTATGTATAAAGACCTCCGGAAACCCGCAGTTTGCGACTCCAAGAACAGCCTGGTTTTAGGCTTAGGCCCTCCCCTGTTGGGACCGTGTTCGCGTCGCTGACGGATCCTTGTTTCAACTCCGGTAAGCATCTGTACCTCTCACACACAGTGTGTGTGCTTTAACGTGTGACTTACAATCATCAGTATCGACAAATTCTTTGAAATCCACGTAGCGCGAGGCTACCGTCTCGCGCTGTCCCAATCCCGACAGACCACTATGATCATCTAAACTACTGTTCCCGGCTCCTCCATCAATTTCCAAACGAACTTTTCTCGGCAGATCAATTAGAATTGAGTAACTTAGGCTACGACAATGCTATCGAGCGCTTCAATTCGCCAAATTTTGCATCTATGAGCCTTAACTCCGCAATTCCCTCACCTTGTGTCACTACAACACCACAACCTCCTATGGTAGACCTCGTCAGACACCTCCCAAATCAGACCACACCGTCCATTAGCCTCTCTCCATCGTCAGAATCTTCCGCCACAGCAAGCGAGGAAGGCCGACACGCCGACCAGACACACAAAAAATACAAATGCAATCGCTGCTCAGCTGGCTACGACCACCGGAAGAACCTACGCGAACATAAACAAACGAAGCATCAACGCATACGATACTTCTGCAACGTGGAAGGCTGTAACGAGAGTGTGGCACAGAAAAAGAACCTAGCACGACACAAGGCCGGCAAACACGGGATCACGGCGAAGCTTTAGATGAGAAAAGACAACGAAGTGTTGAGAACTGTCATGGGGATTGGAGGAAGAGGTAATGCCATCCGGTTGTAAACCGCGCCGTGCTTGGCCGTGTATCCTTTTGGCATGAGCGCGGAAGTCGCATCCGCATCTCGGGAGCTCGGGGGGTTTAATGATCTTCTCCAACTATCCGCCGTCACGCAATGATGTCCTGTCTCTACCTCAGGTTATCCCCAAACGGTAGCCGTGAACTCAACTGAAAAGTTAGATGTGACGCCCGTTTGATGAAAGCGTTCCTTTTTTTTCTTGATTTGACCAGTTTTTCCTTTTCGAAAGCTACCTAGAATCTATTCCTTCCATTCCACTAGGATGCACAAAGACGAGACTGCCTATTTCTAAAGCTCCGTATTTCTGACTGCTTTCAATAGGGAAGATAATTATAACTGTCGCACATCACCTTTCTCTTCTTGATGAACACCGTAGAGATATTCACATGACATATACGACTGCCGATTATTGGAACGCTTAAGTCCTACCCCTACTCGGCTGCATGCTATACATCGCGCAGTGGAAGAGGTAGATGACAAGATGAGAGCAATGACTGTAAGCGAGACAACAAGTTCAATGTCTATGATGATCTGAGGGAGCCCCAATGAATCGATGACAACTTCAGCTGGCACTTGCGTACCGAATTTAGTGAGTCGATTCTCCCTCCACATGTATCTGATCAGAGACTAATAACTTCAAGGGTCCTATACTTATCACATCTTCTCCATTATCTATAAGACATGAACATAGCGTTTATCTTTGATATCTCTGTACTCTTATTCACCCTCCTCCGTTAGATTGTACGGAGTAAGTCCTACAACCTGTGGAGCTATTTGGGTTAGCTTAATCTTGTCTTGTTAGGCACAGATATTAACTTACCGACATAAGACGGGTTGACAACGTCTTTACCAGTGACCCTCTTAATATCTTCAAAGACGACGTCCATAGGAAGAAACATTCCTTGTCCAGTACTAGTCACTCCGACGAGTAGTCCAAGCTGCGTGCCTGATCCTTCGTGCAGTACTACACTGCCATTGTCACCAAGCTCGCAGAAGTCATTCCTCTCGTCATTACTAACCACGCCAAAACACGCTCCCAAGTTCTTCGCATCTATACCATAGGCGCCCGAGATCTCCTCATCGGCATCAGGGTTGATGATGATCATACAAGCGTTAACGATGCCGGCCGTCCAGCCACTCGTGCGCCCGTATTTGGCAACGTGCACTTCTTCTTTGTTGACATTGAAGGTCGACCACTGCCTGCACTGCTGCGTTGGGACAAGTTTCGTCTTGGTAGAGTAAACATCAGGCAGACGGTTGGTGACGTCGCGTTTTTTCGTGTCGTTCATACGGATTAACGCCCAGTCAAGTGGGAAGACGAAAGTGGGCTGCAACGCCTTCATCTTGTCTTTAGATGGGTCGGTGTCCGGATTTGATGTGTACTTGTTGGCATTGATAGTTCGTTGACCTGACCCTGCGTAGACGTAGCCGATACGCCGGTCGAAGCTTTCACATCTCTTGTACTCTTCATCCTTCTTTTCGTGCAACATCTTGCATTCCGCATCTCCATCAGCAGCGTAAGTATGGTAAAGCGTGATATGTTTTTGCAGCATTTCGAGGTAGCCGGAATGGTCGAGCGTCGCTGGCGATACCATGGGTTGAGGTACGTTGGTCAAGGTCATGTTATTAATACCCAGAGCCTTGTTGGTCGTGTTGGAGACGACTGCGTAAGGGTCAGTTTGTGTCTTATTAGTCGATAATGAGTTATTACCGTTGTCAAGTCGTGCATCGCGGACGCCGTGCCAACTCGTAATTCCGCATCGAATGCCGCCGGACAGGGTCACAGATCCACCTAAAGTACTGCAACCTTTCTCATCACCCGAAATTCCAAGAGAGGATCCCATATCGGCTATTTTGGCGTAGGATGAGCCGTTGACGCTGTCGGTCAAGCTATTTCGCCTCTTCGCCCCCAGCATCGTCATCCCACACAATATTTCGATGCCAAAACTTGGAGCTCTCTTGGAAATCTCGGCCATGATTGAAGGTACCACGATATCGAACCATTTCGGATTACGCGCAGTCGGTGTGGTGATGACAATTGTTGGTGAACATTCCTTGCGATCGTCGATCAATCCTCGACGAAGAATTTCCACCGAAAGCCATTCATGCTTGCTCAGCAAAGACATGACATCTGAAGATATGGTTTCCCATTGCTTGCGTATGTTGTGCTCATCATAGCGGATGGGGAAAGACATCATGCCGCTGGAGTGTCTTGCTCGATAGTCCATGCACTCGATTTGGACATCCTCCGTCCAGGAATTATCGCGAAAGCTAGCTCTAATCCTGATGATAGCATCTTCAATCTCATGACGAGCGTGCTTCAGCATGTCGACACGTATCAAGAGCGTCAAATGCTCTATATTGTCGTTCTCCTTAGTAGCATTCCGAGGAACTCGGAACGCAAAGTAGAACGCGTAACCCCCCCTGAGCAAGCCATGTGCTATGAGAATATCCTGAACATTATGCAGTATCTCATATGAGCCTGGTATCATCCATCTCGCATCGATGTCGGTGTCCATCGGCAGAGGTGCAAGTGTCGGCCAGCCCATGCGATATGGAACGTGTCCGGGGTCCATCTCTTTACGAACCTCTTCGTCGGTACGAGATGTATAGCGCCTGCGTTGGGACATGGTGGGAAGTATTCGATGAGTTAATCCAGTTCTTGTGAGATGGTCGCGGCCTAGGTATGCAGTAAACTGCTTTTGCTTCGTATGAAGAAGAAAGTTCAACAGGCGCGTCGGAGTCTACGTTAGTGTTCGACTGTGAGACTACAAGAGCTCAAAGGCGATGTAGCTGCCTAGGCTTTCTATGAAGATGTACTCTGTGAGATGCTGTTATTTGATATTCGCCATATGGGGTGCTGGGCGTAGTGGCATCCATGGTACTGCGATGACACAGAGCGAGACGAGCCAATCATGACTCCAGAGGTACATAACTCAAGGTGCTTCTCATCAAATGAGAGAGATCGCAATCCTCAGACTCTGGCGTAGTGGTAGAAGCTGTGGAAAGCAGAGCATAGGCCTGTGGAAGAGAAATTCGGCCCAAGCCAGTGTGTACCATGGTTACACAACCTGCGATGTCGTATTGATCATTCACATGTTTTGAACTCGAATAAAAGTACTGGACCGAGGATTCAGCGCGATCCATTACATCATGAACCGACTGTGGTACGTGTCAACCTCACAGAGACCAGTCACCCTTCACGGATATCTGGTCAGAGACCAATAACGACAAGGCTCCTAGGCTTCCCACATGGTATCGAGACTGCTACCCTTCCTTCCCACGTCGTGTTCCTATTCTCGATATCTCGATCATCTACTCATCAGTTTCCTGGCCCATATCCACAAGATAGCGGATAGCTACTTCCGAATCTAGCCTCGAATCGAAGGTCACGGCCGTATCGTAGGTATCCGGCATAGTACCAATCGACCGCACCGGGACCACGCAGGCGTTTTACACCTCTGCGTCTGCCGCGATAATTCCCCGGTCCCATCGGCTGGTAGCCCAGGTCTACATCAAACTAAGAAAGAGAAAATTAGCATTGTGTCACTAGATAGTTCTAGCCTCGTGAGGAGACGAGAAACATGTCGATATTCGCAGGCCTGCAGCATCATTGTGTAGTAACAGCTCAGTAATATTTTGGGGGTATCTAGTAGGTAAATGGGAAGATAGATGTTCAATGGCCAAGTCGGATAATAATGGTGGTGCGAGAAGCTCTTTCGCGCAACAGCCAGTGTTATACGCGCGAAATCCACTTGCTCAACTCACTGATAGCTCGTCAGCCTGGTCGTCGGAGTCGTCGGATATCTCGATGAGGTCTTCGGCATCGCGCCTAGGCCTCTTCTTGCTGGCTTTGCCGCCGGAGCCGACGGCGTCGAGGAACTCGTTGTTGTCGATCTTGGACTGGAGTTTGGGCGCGGATGCAACGTCTGCAAGGAAGAGGCGGTCGTTGTACGCGTCGAAGGCTCGCTCGTCCTATAGCATGGTTAGCTTGTGACCAGCGAGATGGAGTGCAAGACGGAAGGACGTACGTTCTCGTCGTAGTAGTCGAGCCTCAGCCACTGCTCTTGGTTGGTCGACTTCATGAAGGCCTGAGTCAGCTCTGCGGCAGTGTCACCACCCGTCTTCTTGACTTGGGCGAGGAAGGCCTTTGGTTCAGCGACCTTAGCGCCTTCTTGTGACTCCTTCTCGCGGCGGCGCTGGACAGCTTCTAGCTGGGCGGAAGCGTCGATCTGGTGGAACTGTGTTCGCAGCTGGACGAGGCCGTTGCAGCGTGTGAGGTGGAGCTCGTCTGCGCCGAGTCAGTCTTGAAGCGAGGGTTGTTGTCGCGCGCTACTTACTATCGCGGAAGGTGCCGAGCATGTAGCTGGTGCCCTTGCCGTCGTCGTGCATGATCTGGCCACCGAACGTCTGGGTGTTGAGGACGTGGCCCTTCTCGTTGGCGTCCTCGAAGTGAGTGACGTACTCCTCAAAGTTGTCGTCGTCCTCGGTCGCGATGGGCGCTGCGGGGGCTCCTCCCTCGCCGGCGGCGCCAGGGCGGTTGGTGCTGCGCGGCATAGTGCGCTCGAAGCCGGAAGCGATACCGAAGGCCTTCTGGCCGAAGCCCTTGGTCTTGCGCATAGCCTCGCCCCAGCGCACACCGGCGACGCGGTTGTAGTTGCGGTGGATGTTGACGGGCACGTCGACCTCAATGAAGCCCGACTCTTTCTTGAGGCGCAGCTGTGAGGGCTGGCTCTCGGTGGCCTTGGTGAAGGGCTGGTCGGGCGGGCGGTTCAGGTACTGCAGCACGTACAGCTGCTGCTCGGCCATCTCGGGGGTGATGTAGACGTCGTACTCGGCCACGACGGGGTCCTCGTCTTCGATATCCATGGCCGCTGCGTTGGCCATTGTGTTAGCGGAGTCTGGTTCGGTGTTGTGGAGAGCGAGGGCTGGACGTACAGGCCATTTTAAGTGGGCGCGTCGGGGCTGCAAGCAAAAAGAGTCGCGGTCACCCAAAGTTCCAAAAGTCCAAAAGTTCCAAAAGTCACGGCCGCCCCGCAACGCGAAGTCGCGTGGAGCCGCGGCCCGTGCAGCTCAATGACGGAATGCATCCGATATCCCCAGCCCGGCAACCACGATAGTTCTGTTCTGTACTTTGAGCTATCCACAAGCTCTAACAGATATCGCCATGGCTTACATTGCACCCATCCACCGGCCAAGCAGCGTCCGGCATGCGCTCAAGCTCAACTTCCTCGCCCCGGACGAGGATTGCCTCGTAGTCGCGTAAGCAGTCCGCGGGTACATGCATCACTATCTGTACAATGCTAACACGATCGCAGCAAATCCAACAGACTCGAATTCTACACGCAGACTTCCGATGGATTGGCCCTCCAACACTCCAAAGCCATCTATGGCAAGGTCACCATGCTCCAGAAGCTCCGCCCAGCCCTATCACCGACCGACCACCTCTTCGTCGGAACCGATCGATACATGTACTTCACCCTGTCATGGAATCCCGAGAAGAAACAGCTACAGACGGAGAAATCATTCGCGAGCGTGGCCGACAATGCTGCAAGAGAGTCGCAAACGGGCGAGAGATGTCACATCGATCCAACGGGGCGATTCATGACTGTCGAAGTCTACGAGGGCATCGTGACCGTCATACCGCTAGTCCAAAGGGGAAAGAAGAGGAAGCAAGAGGCTGATATCGCCCATCTGGGAGACCCTCAACCAGTCAGACTACCCGAGATGTTCGTCCGCTCGTCTGCCTTCTTGCGCCCACGGTCCTTCGACGACAAGCCCAAGATGGCTCTACTATACGAAGACACACACTCTCAAGTCAAGCTGAAGTTACGGGAACTCACCTACGCCGGCGAAGAGGTGGACCTACAAGAAGGCGAGACCTGCAAGACCGAACTGGAGCTTGGCTCGAGCCACCTGATACCCGTTGAGGAGCCTTCTCACGGCCTGGTAGTCATCGGCGAAACATCTATCGGATACTACGACGACGAAAGTGGGGAACTCCAAACCGAGCCACTGGACGAGGCGACCATCTTTGTGGCTTGGGAACGCATTGACGCTCAGCGATTCGTGCTCGCCGATGACTACGGTCGCCTATATATGTTCATGTTGGTCTTGAGCAGCCAAGGCAAGGTCCAATCATGGAAGCTTGACGTAATCGGGGAGACATCTCGTGCATCTACACTGGTATATCTCGATGCTGGGTATGTCTTTGTGGGATCGCATCAGGGCGACTCGCAAGTCATCAAGATTGCGGAAAAGTCGATGGAGGTCGTCCAGACATTCTCCAACATCGCGCCTATACTTGACTTCACAATCATGGATATGGGCAACAGATCTGGTGAAGGGCAAAGCAATGAATACTCTTCTGGCCAGGCGCGCATAGTAACCGGTAGTGGCGCATATCAAGACGGAAGTCTTCGGAGCGTTAGAAGCGGAGTTGGACTAGAGGATCTTGGTGTGTTGGGCGAAATGGAACAGATCTCTGATCTCTTCAGTCTGAAATCCACCGCCTCTGCCCAGTATGAAGACACCTTACTAGTCAGCTTTGTCAACGAGTCGCGCATCTTCCGATTCGATCCACAAGGCGAGGTAGAAGAGGTGGACGAGTTTGCTTCACTCGCTTTGGATGAAACAACACTGGCCGCTGCGAATATCTCGCAAGGGCGCGTTGTACAGGTCACCAACGGAAGAGCCCGCATCTGCGACCTGGACGGCGGTATGATAACGTCAGAATGGATGCCAATGGGTGGTCAGGCTATTACCGCGGCTTCAATCAACGACAGTCATGTTCTTGTGTCCCTGGGAGGCGTCACAATCGTTTCTCTGAGTATGGCGGACGGCCTACAGGTTGTCAAAGAGAAGAAATTCGGTTCGGAAAGCCAAGTCGCCTGCATTGCTCTTCCATCAGTCTCAAGCTCGATATGCTTCATTGGCTTCTGGAGCAATTCCCAACTCGCCATATGCTCTCTCGATACCCTGGAAGCGGTCAAGACAGTTCAGATCTCCGAAGACTCGGTTCCCCGTTCATTGCTATTGACTCAAATATTCCCGGAACAACCGCCATCCCTCTTTGCCGCATTAGCAGATGGCAATGTTGTCACATACGCCTACGATCCCTCAACACATGAGCTATCAGGAAGGAAGAGCATTGTTCTAGGCACGCGTGAAGCTAGTTTCCGTGCCCTACCTCGCGGTAACGGCCTGTTCAACGTCTTTGCAACATGCGAACACCCATCCTTGATCTACTCTTCAGAAGGTCGTCTTGTTTACTCCGCTGTTACAGCAGAGAAAGCGACAACAGTCTGTCCCTTCGATTCGGAAGCGTACCCCGGCTCCGTAGCCATCGCAACCTCGGAAGACCTTCGCATCGCTCTCGTAGACACCGAACGGACAACGCATGTACAGACACTAAAGGTCGATGAGACCGTACGACGAATAGCATATTCACCTAGCCTGAAAGCTTTCGGTCTCGGCACTATCAAGAGGATACTCAAACATGGCGAGGAGATCATGCTAAGTCATTTCAAACTCGTTGATGAGATCCAGTTCAAGGAGCTCGACACTTATGCGCTCAACGAAGAAGAACTCATCGAATGCGTCATGCGTTGCGAACTACCGGATGGCTCAGGCGGTGTTGCAGAGCGCTTTGTCATCGGCACTGCCTACCTTGACGATCAAAATGCCACTGCAGAACGTGGCCGCATAATCATCCTAGAGGTGACACCTGAGCGCGTACTCAAGCTCGTTACTGAAATCGCTGTAAAGGGCGGGTGCAGGTGTCTAGCCATTTGCGAAGGCAAGATCGTCGCCGCGCTCATCAAGACTATCGTGGTATACGATGTCGAATTCAAGACTCAAAGTTCTCCCGACCTGGTCAAGCTAGCTTCGTTCAGATGCTCGACTGCGCCAATCGATGTTACCGTCAACGGCACCATGATCGCCATCGCTGACCTGATGAAGTCACTCGCCGTTGTCGAATATACAAAGGGCGAGGCGGGTTTGCCAGACAGGCTTGTAGAGGTTGCGCGGCATTATCAGACGACTTGGGCTACGGCTGTAGCCGAGGTAGACACGAACACTTACCTCGAAAGCGACGCGGAAGGAAACCTGATGGTCTTGTACCGCGACCCGAACGGTGTCACAGACGATGACAAGAGGCGGTTGAATGTCAGCTCGGAAATGCTACTGGGAGAGATGGTGAATAGGATACGTCGGATTGACGTCTTAACAACTTCGGACGCTGCAGTCATTCCCAAAGCGTTCGTCGGCACTGTAAGTCTACCCCAATACATTGATCTCCTGCAAATACCAATTTCCATGCAGGTCGAAGGCTCAATCTACCTCTTCGGTCTCATCTCGCCCGACTACCAAAACCTCCTCATGACGCTCCAATCCAATCTAGGTGCTCTCGTCGCCGCACCTGGAGACATGGACTTTGCCAAGTTCCGTGCCTTCAAGAACACCGTCAGGGAGGAGGAAGAGCCTATGCGTTTCGTCGACGGAGAACTGGTGGAGAGGTTTTTGGATGTAAGCGAGGAAGTACAAAGGAAGGCCATTGAAGGGTTGGGCGTGGAGCTCGAGGAAGTCAAGGGATTGATTGAAGGGTTGAGACGATTGCATTAATACAGAAGGACGTACATAACTAATCGAGTTGAAATTACTCGTCGCACAAATGCAAGTAAGGCAAAAAACTACATTCGCTTCAATGTCATGTGAAAGGAAACTAACCACCTCGTCGCTCCACCTCTTTTTCTTATCAGGACAAGTATTAGAAAGGAATGAAAGTACCAAGTCCAGAACGCCTTCGATATCGTGTCGCCATGACAAACTCCGTGTTGAGCCGCTGTACATGCTCCAATCCCATTACCGCGCCTGAACTCCCTCGCTTTTTGAATAAACGTACATTCTCATCGTACACAACATTACATGCATCGCCAGTTTTGAACGCCCGAACGCCTGTCACCCGTATAGTCGACACAATCGTGTCTTTGAATTTGTAGTCGCTGTAGGAATCTCAGGACTCTTCAGTCTTGTTCACGAGGCGGGTTTCGTCGATAGGTTCCACTGGCCTCGCCGCCAGGCTTCTGCTGTTGCTCGTGACCTTGGTCGTCGTCGTCGTCGTGGTCTTGGTCTTGGTCGTGATCCTGGTTCTGGTTCTGTCCCCGCGCCCGGTGGTTATACTTCCTACGGTTATTCTTCCTAGGCCTCCTCCTGAGCCCGGTGTTGGGGTCCACACCGTTTCCATTCTGATAGCGGCCCTGGTGGCTGTTCTGGTAGGGCATCGTGCCGGCCCGTACGCCGTTGACCTCGCGGTGCTGGTTTGTGAACGGCTCGGGCGTGCCTGCGGTGTACTCGATGGAGGAGAACTGTTCGTGGTTCCACATAGGGCCTTGGGGCTGCACGTAGTTCATGGGTGGAGTGGCGTGGAAGTCGAAGGGGTTGTGGACCTGGTTGTAGTAGTGGGTGTAGCCATCGTATAGGGGGTATGGCTGATACCCGTAGAAACCAGGGCTACAGTATGGCAGTCCCTGTGGATGTTGCGGGAGCTGATACTGGGGATGAGCGTTGAAGCCTTGCTGAGGCGGCGTCGCAGGGGAAGAGACGCGCTCGCTCGACGCAGGGCTGGGATGCGCAAGCTGACCGGGAACAAATTCAGCGGCCGTAGGCCTCAGAAGGGCGGGAACTGGGCTGTCCGACATTTTAGGGAGAAAGGTCGGTGTAAAAAGACTGTGGAGTTGGGGCTGCTTGGGGAGTGTTAAGTCGAGGGGGAAAGGGTGCGCCGGAATTTATATAGAGAGACTGGGCAGCAAGCGAACCAGAAAGTGAAATACTCCTTGGCCCACCGATTGCGCACTGCAGGTGGGAAGTGAAAAGTGAAAAGGTGTGCCTGCCGGCGCGAGGTAATGTACTGTGCCGGCTCAAGCGGCGATGGACCAAGATTGTGCTGCGTTTGTTCGTGAAAGCACTGGACCCTGTTAGCAAGCTAATCGCACCCTTGCTGGGCGGCCTGTTGAGGGATTTTAGCAATGTGTCGGTGACGAAAAAGTGAGGTGGAGGAGCTCATGCGCGGTACCGCGGTATTGGTTGTCGTCACCCAGTAGGAGGGACCCAGATTGTACAGTCGCAGCAATGGATTGGTGTCCTGTCTATTTCAATACACCGTCTTCGTCACTGCTGTCCCCTGCTGTGTTCTTCACGCTGTTGAGTTCGACTGTGTCATCGCCTTGGTCTTGGTCGTCCCTAAAGCCCTCCGTGTTCGCGTCACCATCGCGGTCGAGAAGTGGGGCCTCTCCCGTGGTAGCTACCACACTCTTCTTCTCAGTCTCCTCTCTCATGCCGATGATCACGCTGCCAGCTACCAGCATGGCTGCCCCAAGCCACCATAACCCCGGTAGGTTCTCGCTGAAGATGATGAAGCTAAGGACGGCTGTGACGATAAAATTCGCAGACGTGTTTATGATGCTGACGCGTACGGTCGAGGAGGCAAGGGTAAGGGCACGCGTGAAGAGCCCCCACATGATCGCGTTGAAGACGAGGTTCATGCCAAAGAAGAGCTGCGCGTTGCGTTAGCTGTGTGCTGGTAATAGAAGGTACGGCAGGTGGGGAGGACGCACCCCTCGTATCGCATATTCAACAATCTTGTTTGACGCACTCAGCCCGAATGCCAGGGCTATGGAGCTTGACCAGGATGCAGTGAGCTCTGTGGTTGTGCTACATCATCGTCAGTACGCAGCGTGGGTTGGGGCGACGCGACGTTCTTACAGCTTTGCGAAGACGCCATTGAAAGCTGCACAAGCGCCACTGGAGATGGCAAGCATCAGCCATGCTGATTTGGTTTGCGGGAGAGACATGATCGCGGCCGAACTGGGGTGCTGCGGGGAATGAGGTCGATGTTCACGGATGCAAGTTGATGATCTGCAAGGTACGACCGGGTGCACTTCCGCGCTTAGTCAATATGGGGTAGTAGTACATGCAGGTCGCATCTTGACGCAATATATGAGGCAAGTGCTCTGTAGTGCGCATGCTACTGGGAGTCATAGTCTACTGCCCAGCTCTTCTATCGGCTACCAGTCAAGGTGAGCTCACTAGAATTGCACTCCCGCCTGAAGTCATCACCTGAGTGTAGCAGAAAGGGTGCCATAGCCCATATATGCAAATGATCATAATTGTTCCAATTTATCAGCGTTAAACCAACGCGAATCACGCATTCAGTCCCAAACTCCTTTTCATGCCAGAGGTATCGTGAAAGCATTCCAAGGCTATTTTAGCCGTAACGCCGAAAGCATATGATGACACAGGTCTCTAGAGAGACAGCTGTTCCTGCCGGTGGATTGCATCTTGCGCAATCGCATTTGCTTGAACGCGATTGTCTCCTTCCTGTCTGCTGCAGTACATCTCTGAACGCCCTTTAGGTCGTCTAGGCCTCGCCAGGACGCTTCGCGTTGCAGCTAACAATCTTGACGCGGTCGGCATGAACTTGATGGGTGTTGTCCAGCTTGAAGTTGATATCCTTGATAATGAAGGTCCATACGTCGTCGCAGAAGCGGTAGGTATCGAGATGTCCCTACGGAGTTTCAAGTCAGCACACGATGCTTCTCACTGGTCGCCCGTGCGCAACTGACCTTGAATGTCAAGCGCGACTTGACCTTCTCCGAGAGCACATCGGCGACGGCCTTGTCAAAGTTGAGGAGGATCTTCATGGCGAGCTGGGGTTCTATCCGGCGCTCGGTGATGAGGTTGTCCAGGGTGTCCGTGAGAGAGCCGCCCAGGCTGTCTCCTGTTAGCCAGCGCTCCTTGCTACGCTCTCCCAGAGTGGCATGTAGTACCTGCTTCGGCGGTAGAGCTCGTAGTACTTGGTGTTGTCGGTGGCCATGGTGGTGATAGTTGCGACGAGCTGGTGGTTTGGTCTCGGTGACGCCTGCGCGGGAAGAGTGATGGGGGCGCCGCGCCGAGGTGGTGGTTACTAAGCCGTTCGATGCTAGCGCGACGCGGCTTGTTCCGCCTGCATCATCGCCAGCTTCGCGGCGAGTCCATCACGACGAAGCTCCAGCCGCCTCTTTCACCATCCATCTCCGCCTCCACGACCACTAAACCCAACATGTCTCTTACTTATGGAACGGGCGGTGCGACCGCCGCCCTCGGTGTGGTGGGCCTGTGTATGTACCGCGCGCAGGGGCGTAGGCGATAGCTAACGACCTTCAGACATGCTCTTCAACAACGAAGGCGAAGCTTTCAACGTACGCACGCGTTCCAACCAACTCGATACGGACACAACTGATTAAATCTCAGGTCGGAGCTTTCCTCGAAAGCATATCGCCATACACATTTGCTAGTGTCGGCATTGCGCTGTGCATTGGTCTCTCTGTCGTAGGCTCGGCATGGTACGTCTAGCCGTTGGGAGTATACACGCATCGCATCTGACGTTCGCAAAGGGGCATCTGGACAACCGGTGTGTCCATCGTCGGTGGAGGTGTCAAGGCGCCACGGATACGAACCAAGAACTTGATCTCCATCATCTTCTGCGAAGTCGTCGCTATTTACGGTGTCATCATGGCCATCATCTTCTCCTCCAAGATGAACCAGCTCTCCGACCCTGAGCTGTTGTACTCTGGATCCAACTACTTCACCGGATACGCGCTGTTCTGGGCTGGAATAACCGTGGGCATGTGCAACCTGATCTGCGGTGTATGCGTGGGCATCAACGGAAGTAGCGCTGCCCTGGCCGATGCTGCGGACCCTGCAATGCAAGTAGCTGTCTTTCCTGGGTCTGTGTTCCGATGCTAACTTTGTTGCAGGTTCGTCAAGATCCTTACCATCGAGATTTTCGCTGCCATTCTTGGACTGTTCGGTCTCATCATCGGACTGCTCATGCAGAGCAACGCCAAGGACTTCCAGTGAGCGAAACTCCTCGCTATTCCGCCTCAGGGCACAAATATACGAACTATATCGAACCTCGATCCCGCCTAGAAGGACGCCAAGGGGGAGTGTTTTCGATGCCAGCTTTGTGGAGCCGGTCAAGAGGTTACTGAAGGTCATTTGTAAAGGATGTACGATGTACATAGGAAGGGGCGCTTGTATAATGCATGTAATATGAGCGAGCATCGGCGTTAAATACCATTTATCGATTTATGTTTTCCAATATCCTTTTGACAATTCTCATGAGTGAACTTCTGAATCTGATCAACTCGGCGTGTAAGCAGTGGCCCGTGCACGATGTCCACAGGGTGGGATGTCCGCTCTACTCCGCTTCGACTCAACACCGACAACATTAAACATGGCCACCACAGGTTCAAAGTTGAAGGCAGCGATCTTGGTAGTGTCTGAGACTGCTTCCGAAGACCCATCAACCGATAAATGCATACCAGTCCTCAAGAAGGTCTTCGGAGATCTCGGAAATGACCAATGGGACGTTAGCGAAACCGAGATAGTACCCGACAACGCTCTCGTCATCCAGAAGAGTATCAAAAGTTGGACTGATGGTCCGGAACCAATCAACTTGATCGTCACTAGCGGAGGTACTGGTTTCGCAACTAAGGATGTCACTCCAGAGGTGCGCACTCTTATACTCGAAATGGCCCAAGCCACGCAGCTAATAGAAACAAGGCAGTTACGCCGCTGATTGATAGACATGCTCCTGGTCTTATGTAGGGGGTTCCTCTCGATACCGTATGCGAAAGCTCACACACAATCAGACATGGCATGCTCACAACTTCCTACGCCGTCACGCCGTGTAAGTGCTTGAGCACCAAGCTGATCGTCCAGGCTAACGTTTGATCAGTTGCACTTATGGCGAGACCTGTTGCTGGAGTTAGAAAAAAGTCTTTGATATTGACTCTGCCTGGATCGCCGAAAGGTGCCAAAGAGAACCTAGAGGCAGTTCTGAAGTTACTACCACATGCGTGCATCCAAGCTGCCGGTGCAGAGTCGAGACCGCTACACGTCGGTGGTGTAGAGAAGCTCGAAAAGGACGCGGGTGTTTCTTCGGGTGGCGCTACTACAGGTACGTGATGTGCCATTCACCCCAGAAACACTGCAACTTACAATGACAGGAACTGGATGTGGGCATCACCACCATCACCATCATGGGCACTCGCATGGTCACGGCGGCCACGCAGGCCCCAAAGCTCACACGAACCCAGAAGAGCGTCCCCAGTCTAATGATCCTTCCGCAGGACCAACTCGCAGATATCGATCGTCGCCGTATCCTATGTTGGCAGTCGAAGATGCTCTCAAGCTAATATCGGAGCAAACCCCAGCTGCTGCAGTACAGAAGGTGCCAGTAGACATGAGACTTAGTGGTTCGGTCCTTGCCGAGGATGTCAAAGCCACTGAGTCCGTCCCGGCCTTCCGAGCTAGCATTGTCGACGGATATGCGATCAAGATCCCAGCGACTGGCAAGTTCGAAAAAGGAACTTACCCTGTTTCGATCATATCTCATGCACAACCTGGCGAAGTCAAGGAGTTGAAAGAAGGAGAGATTGCCAGAATCACGACTGGCGCCCCGCTTCCTCCTGGTGCTGATGCCGTGGTCATGGTTGAGGATACAGTATTGAAGAGCCTGACAGAGGATGGCAAAGAAGAGAAGGAGATCGAGATACTGACTGATGAGATCAAGCCGAACGAAAACGTACGGGAAGTTGGCAGCGATGTCAAAGAGGGCGAGATCATCCTAAAGAAAGGCGAAGGTGTCACAGTCGTGGGTGGCGAGTTTGGTCTCCTTGCGTCTGTGGGTACGACAGAGGTGTCTATCTACAAGAAGCCTGTCGTTGGAGTCCTGAGCACAGGAGATGAGATCATCCCACACAACAGAGAGGGCCCACTGCGACTCGGAGAAGTGCGCGATACCAACCGTCCCACTCTCATCACTGCCGCACGAAGCCATAGGTTCGAAGTCATCGATTTGGGTATTGTCTCAGACAAGTAAGTGAAGTTGGAAAAGAACCTCTGATCCACCTGTCGCTGACCAAATCCAGACCTGGTACCCTTGAGCAGAGTCTCCGTGACGCGATGCGCAAGTGCGACGTTATCATCACCTCTGGTGGCGTCTCAATGGGCGAGCTTGACTTGCTCAAACCAACCATCGAGCGCTCTCTCGGCGGCACAATCCATTTCGGCCGTGTCAACATGAAGCCTGGCAAGCCTACCACCTTCGCTACTGTGCCTGTAAAGGACAATGATGGAAACCATGTCACCAAGTCAATTTTCTCGCTTCCTGGCAATCCAGCTTCAGCCGTCGTGTGTTTCCATCTCTTCGTTCTGCCTGCATTGCACCAGCAAGCTGGAATTAAGCCACTCGGGCTACCAAGAATCAGGGTTATACTGGATGAGGATGTGAGGATGGACAAGGGCCGTCCAGAGTATCACCGTGCGCTTGTCGTGACAAAAGAGGATGGGTTGTTATACGCAAGCTCAACAGGTGGGCAGAGAAGTAGCCGAATCGGCAGCTTCAGAGGTGCGAATGCGCTGCTTTGTATGCCACAAGGCGAAGGTAGCTTGAAGAAGGGGGAGAAGGTCGAGGCGCTACTCATGGGAAAGTTGGGTGAAGTTGAGCGATGATAGACATGTTTGTCGCAATATTGTAGGATGAAAATGCACGTGCATTATATCTATTACATCTCAGAATGTGTTCCACATCAACCATCTAAGTGTTGTTCCCTTCCCAACCGTCATCGCTACATAACCGAATATCTAAGCCGAGACAAAGGAAAGAGAGTCCTGAAGGGTATTCGCAACTGCCGAAATGAACAAAGGAAATTGGGCTAAAACCCAAGGATCGATACCAGGCGTGAGCTCAACATTACCCTGTCCCATCATCACCGTGCCTGCCTGTACCCGCAAAAACACCGACGCTAAAGTAGAAAGACGATACGAAAGACTTTTTTTGAGTTTGTGTGTGTGACTCCTCATGCGGGACCGTGGCTGGACTTGGGCTTCAAGTCGTCCATCATGACACTGCCTCTGCAGGATCCGGCGCTCGATGCCAGTGCCTTGCGGTACGCGTTGGTTTGGGAGAACTGCTCCTCGTAGTGCTCCTTCAGCTTGCGCTGTCTCTTTTCCCTCTTGTACATCCAGAATATAGTGGAAGCTAGGCCTGCGATGATCATGGTGAAGACAGCCGTGAGGACACCGCCGACTATTGCCGTTTCCTTCTTTTCTTTTGAGCAAGTATTGGGAGGTGGGGCAGTGGTTGCGGCAGCCGGGCTCGGGGTTTGGAGTTGGAGGGTTGCGCTGAAGGTGGTTGTGATGTGGGGTGCGTCCTGGTTGTTGCAGCAGCTCTTCGTGTCGTCGGCGCCGCGGCAGCAGTATGTTCCCGAGTCGCATGTTTGTAGTTGCCATGCTTTTACTGGCTTGAGACCAAGGAAGTCGTTGGAAACTGAAGTGAATTAGTTGGGGAACATAAGATGAGTCAGATGTTTGTGAACTTACCACCAGGGCACAAGTCTTGTTGGCATGCTGCATCTTTTCCTTCCTTGTCTGTACAACCTCGCGAGAAGATCATACCGATCGACTCATTTGTTGTTCCCATACACAACCCATTACTCATGCAGATGTCGGTGGACGCGCAGCATCCGCTGTGATTGGCGCTAGGGTTGCATGGCGTGTATGTTTTGTCGAGTGCTGTACCGTCAACGGCATAACATTGCTGACTCGTAGCAACGGCGACCAAGGTCGCGAAGACCGTAAGGAGGGACCGACTCGACACCATATTAGACAAAAGACAGTATAAAACAAGTAAAGGAGTGACTGGTTGCAAAAGCAAGTGACCGCGATGAACTGAAGATATGTGATGAGCGAACTGGATGTGTGGAGAACCTAAGGATGTTTTAGAGCATTAATGTATCCCATCTGCTGTCGACAGGACATGCAGGTCCATATTTAGTCTCTAGCCCTACATTCGCAATGTTATGCGGCGAAGCCCTGTACAACCTTCTTCAGCTGGCAAAGCCGCTGGTTACAGGGTAGACCCCGCCGACATCTGAAACTGGACAATCAAACCTGGTCTTCGAAAGACCCATGGACCCGTATACGGAGGCATGGGTGACGCAGCTAACAAGCAGTTCGAGGCAAGTGTAACAGCCTCGACGTTGGAAGCAGTGGTACAAAGACGACAAAGTCTATTTCGTCAAGGCCCGACGGCGCTTCCTCCTTCACTTGCTTCAAGGGATGCGCGCTTTCAGACCCACGTACGCGAAGATGGCGCTTGCTGATGCGCGCCTCGCATTTGCTTTGTCACTTGACAACGGGTCGTTCAGTAATGCTTTTGCTCGCGTTTAGCCGCATGAGGTAGGTAGTGAAAGAGGACGGGAGGCTCGTAGCAAATGAAGAGTCGAGGCGATGATGCGCCAGGTGTGGTGGAAGGTTTGAGATGCGAGGCGGAGTAGGCCACTGCTAGCATCTGATAGGCCAAGTGCCGCTTAGTTCAGCACCACAGACCCCTTTTCGGCACGTACCTGCATTTCCACCATCGAACTCTCTTTGCCATCGCTGCGACATATCACCGTTGACAACGGCGCCGCGAGCGCCCCGAGCTGTCAATCGCGGGGATGTGGTAGCAAGCATCAATCGTTCTCTCGGTCGGTCAATAGGTCAGATGTTATCAGTTTCGCCGATCCAGAAACAACCCATCACATCGGTGGCGTCTATCTCCATCAATTCAAGGTCCTTCTCGATGGAGATTACTCAGCGCAATGACCTCTTCGACCGTTGCCTGTTTTGATTGTTGGAGGATCGCCCACGATCTCGAGCTCGCCTGTACCCGGTGCGTGCAGATCTGGGCACCCTGGCCTGCGGCACCATCCAGAGTTTTTACCTGTTGGCGGCGCCGGCAGGGCCTCCGCGTGATGACGAACCACGGCTGTAAATTAGAACACACAGTCTTCAGGTGCCTCATCTCTCAAAATTCCACCGCCCAGTGTACTTGCCTACTGCCCAATCTGGCGCTCACGTCATCTTGCGACCAGCCTTCCGGACCCTTTTGAGGTTGGATCGGGCAGGGTGACATTAGCAACAACGTCTATTCAAGCACGGTCGACGGATCGGGGATGCAATGTGGGGTGTTCGGAGTATTCGGAGGCTGCAATGAAGATCTATGGACGACGATGGACCGACCCGATCACGTCCTCTATCACGGTCCATGTCACGATCGCAAGACGCTTCATTCAGCCCTGTAGACGTTCAGCCACCGCAGGCTTACTAGCACGGCTATCGCGCGCGGACGCCGGAAGGCTGCCAGCGAACACTCGCGGAGTCTCTAAGCAATGGTACATTTCCCATGAACTTTACAGTCTTTCCGGTCCGTCTTCAGGCATCTTCGTAGCCCAAGCCAGCAGCCCCAGCTATCAGACCGCGAAATGACAACCCTGACTTAGCCATCCAGCTCTTTGAGCAAGTCCTCTATCCTCCTTATCTGATTGCGCGGACCTCCATCAACCACCACCCATTCCAATAAACTTTCTTTCGCCATCTTTGCCCAACGTCTGGCATCTCCCATCATTCCATGACCTGCGTACACGTACGCCAGTCTCTCATAATCCTGGGCGAGCAGAGTATCCAACCCCTCTCGTTGACTAATCTCCATCACTTCTTTCTCCCAAGCAACAATTTGTTGGGCATCGTAGGTCTCCGCCGTCAAGTTCTCCAGCATCTTCCGGAGTTGGGCGAACCTCGCACGGCGCTGGTCACTACCAGCTACGTCGTATTGCGAAGCAGTGCAAAGAGAGCAAGTGCACTTGAAGTTCCAGCCTTCCTGATAGAGTGCTTGTCTGTCGGCGTGCTTCAATTCAATTTTGCCATACGAGATACCGATTTCTTCCCCAGCGGCGATGTCCCGTTGAGCTTTGATCTCCATTGACAGTGTCTTCGGAACAAAGCGCGCGTGCGCATTGGGTTGGCACGCGTGATTAATCCGGGCAACGGAAGGGAAGAGACACATGTAGGCGTCGTCTACTTCGCCATCAGCGAGTTGGCATGCGAAAGCATTCGTCTTCATGATGTCTTCAACTTTGCTGCCACCCAGACTCTGATCCAATGCGAGCACCGAGTCCCGATCTGCCTGAGGTAATCGATCAAGTGCGGCACTGAAGAGTGTTTGGCCTTGCGCACGCGTAATTTGCGTAGGAAAATGCGAGCTCGCGATGATACGCGCAGTATCGAGTAATATCGTTTCTCCTTTCTCCAAAGCCTTTGTGGTGATTAGGCCTTTGCCCTTTCCCGGGAAGGCCCGAACTTCGAGAACATCATCCAAGCCCTGGTGTTCCCCGTTCAGAGCTAGGAAGGCCGCAGATATCGCATTTGCAGCTACAGGTCTTGCGATAATGCTCAAAGCATGTCCGCCTCTTGTTTCGGAAGTCGTGTAGGTGCAATATTTCTTCTGCTTCCCTTGAGCACAGGCTGGATCGTGCGACCACGGTAAGTGCTGAAGGGGCGTCTCTTTCGGCAATGGTTCTGAATTGCCGGTGGTGAATGGACAATGTGGTAATTGGAGTGGCAGTTGAGCTTGGACCGCGAATTGATGCGGCGCGTTTGGGCATTGCGGTGACGCATAGGCGTACAACCCAAATGCGCATGTCGCGAACGACAAGATCAGAATCCGTATACAACTCATGATGGTAATGGAATGTCTACGGAACGCATCACGCAAAGCGGTTGAGATGTCTACTTCTATCCTCGCGTCTGTAACACTTCTGAAACAGGAATCGCTGGGCAGCTGCGTCTTGCGCACAACATATTCTGCGATACCTCAAAGCCCAACATTTCGACTTCATCACGACATACTTCTGTCAAATTTCTCGTCATCTCGTGCCTGAACACTTCGTGGGATGGTGGTGAGCAAGTTGAAGCGGACCCATGACTCGACTGCGCCTACCAATCCATTTGAGGACGCGCCAGCAACGCCACCTATCTTGACAGGGCCACGATCAGCACCGTGCCATTCGAAACATCACCACACCACCACATATCGTTCTTTTGATCGTCAGGGCGAACAGCTCAGTGCACGCTATGCGGCTGAAGCCGAGAAGGCCACGATGGGGCCCAGCCTGCTGATTAACTCATCTCCACACCAGCGCATCCTCGTCATACTTTGACGTGGTAGCACACGGCTGTCAGGCTGTTTCATATCGCGGATCGTGCCACAGGTTGCCGGATGCCGTGCCACCAGTTGTCGCACAGTACGAACTCTACGAGATTGATTAAATCACAATAAGAGTACGAGGGCTTTTTGAGGTAGTGACAGGTGACACCCAGACATCGACGAGGATGGGCCTGGTTACTTAAAGGGGCATATTCATGTGTTCGACCTGGTACTGGGATAGACCTTCATCACGGTGAACACGTAGAGGGACTCACTCGCCCTTCTGCCTGAAGGAGAGAAAGTTTAGTGCAAAGTTTGGCAGAAGTCAACCACACGTTGGGCTTCAACTGCCGACCATGCAGGTTCGGAACGGAGTCATCACGACATGATCAGTCAATGGTGTTATCAAACACTGCGTGAGCATGCGTGAGGCCACGAGTAGTAGGTGACACGCAACGTATTTTGGTTAATGAGCAGCGATGGAGACACCCTACTCTTACTATTCAAGACGAAACAAAGCGTGGTGCTCCTCCTACCGAGGTAATTTTTCGCCAAATCACCATCTTTACCCTTGTAACACATCATTCCAACTTGGTGACACAGATCTTCACATGGGATGACTACACAAGTATGTCGCATTTTGAGTGTCGCGTTCAGTCGCCGAGTCCTGCGATTACTGCACCACGAGACTCTGAAACCTAAATCTCGCAGCCGCGTAACCTCAGTGCGGTTCGCTGACAATGTAAGACAAGATAACCAAAAATCCGAGAACTTAACGTACCATTCTGCTGTTGTCTGCAACGAACCCCATGATGCGTGCGCGTTCGATGTAAGCACGCCACGCGTCCCAAGGCCCTTTCCCTATCCCGAGTCACCACTGCCACTTCCCCTCTTCTTTCCTCTCGGGAAAACGATGCTAAAAGCAACGAACAAAATCCGGGCATGAATCGAACCCGTGAACGTAGCAAGTATGTATACACGAGCAAAAAAAGGGCAACCAGCACGACATTCGGCTTCTACTGTCCAGTTCTGTGAACGGAAGAAGAAGCCCGTGAACCAGGTGGATACAAGATCCAATCAGACAAGCCTGTATCACTGAATGAGCACGAAACTCATACTGTTATACGCTCGTGCACAAGATAGACTCCAGTATCGGACTACGGTTGCTCAAAATGCAATGTGCGGGCATGATCCAGTGTAACTGCCTCAGATCGTGACAAAAAGCTTCAGTTGCTCCTTCCTACCGATGCCGCAGTCTTGGTTAAGCGGAGAACAGAGTGCGTGGCAAAGCACGTGGATGTGTCCCCACTTCTTTCTTCACGGAGAAGGAGTATCCGGCTCTTGGAAAGTAAGACACAAGGAGTGCGGTATCGGAGCTCCGTACATGCGGTACACGTGTATTACAAGAGGAAATCAAATAGGTTCCCTGCGATGAAGTGGCTCGAGAGCTTGTGATCAGTAGCTTTTAATGCTGATGACAAAACCAGACGAGTATCGACATGCTTTAAGACCTAGTGTTGCAGTGACTTCGCGTAAGCGATCAAGTTGCATGTGTCTAACTCCAATGGATCCAAGTATAGACCCAAACATAGAAACAATGTACACGTCACGGCAGAAGCGAAGGCATTGATTGCGGAGTGAGTAGTGTTTGCTTTTGGCTAGATGTTTTATATGACATGATGAAGCTGAGAAGATGTTGCCAAGAACATACAGTTTGTTTGACCACTCGACAAAAGAAATCGGCCCAACCACCAGGGGCTCTCTTCAGAGCAAGATGCCACTGACATCCTTCGCGCAGAATCCCTCACAAAGTAAAAGAACGCCGTAGATGCAAGAAAGTGAACTAGTCGAGACAAATTGTCAAGGTATCGATCGAAGTCGAGTAAAACACAAAGATCAGACTGTCGAAACCTCAAATTGGTGGAGGTCGAAGCAAGGGAGACCGCACTGGGTCAACCCGAATGTACACGCAAAGCAATGAAATATTCCGGAGTAGCATGGTAGCCTGCGAAGATAGCCAGGTGTGTTGTTGTCACCTTTCTCAAATAACGCCAATGTAAATGCAAGTCTTTCATCCTAATCCACCCACCCTTGACCTAATTGTATACCCTTAAGGTGCCCTCATGTAAAGGAACCTTGGTTCGTGAATCATAGGTCGTCGTCGTCCAGATCGATCGCATCGGGGTTTGCGGCTGCCTCTTCGGTAGGCTTGATGTTGCCACCCTGAGGACCGGTACTGGCGGCGACGAAGCCAGCTGGTGCGCGTGCTTGACGCTCGAGAGCGGCCATTGCATCCTCGCCAGCAGCATCGGTAGCGTCGCCGTCTTCGTCGGCGGGTGTACCGTTCTGTTGACCACGAGCGACAGCCTGGGAGGCGATGAAGTTGACGTCGGTATTGTACTGAGCCTGGACACTGCGCTTGATGCGTAGCATCTCCTTGTACGTGTCTTCGTTGCCATGCTGGACTTCGAATGACTCCCACTTCTTCCAGAATTCGGGGCTTGTTCTTGGGTCGCAGAACTGACTGGCATGGCCATAGATTGCTCGGGCTCGGTCGATTTCTCCCAAGCGACGTTCCATCTCGGCAAACTTGAGGCACATTTCCTTGGCTTCGCCGTCGGGTAGGGCGGCAATTGCGCGCTCGTAGATTGGTCGAGTGGAGGTGAGACCAAAGTTCGAAGCTGACTTGGTGATGTAGAAGTTGAACATCTCCAGCCTGTCCTCGTCTGCTACAGCGCGTGTGGCGCGTTCGTAGATGCGCATGGCATGTCTAGCTAGACCGCGATCTTCTTCAAGCGCACCATACATCAAGTACAGTACCTTGGCGAACTTTGGCGGGCAGTCCTCCACAGCCTGTTCGAACAGGTCACGCAATCGCTCCATGCCAATCTTACGGTCCACGGCCTTGGTGAGGTACAAGTTCCAGATCTCGAAAGCGACGGGGTAGCTGAAGAGGTCGAGGCCGCGCTCGTAGACCTTGAAGCAGTCTTCGTAGTACTTATTCTCTTCCAGCAGGTTCGCGTAGTTGACGATGGTTTGCGGTGTTGCGATGCGAAGCTCGAATATTCTTTCATACACCTTCTTTGTCTCCTCCAGGGTGCTGACACTTTCGACAAGATCGACGTAGAAGCTCCACAACTTCCAGCTCTTGTGTACACGCTGTTGTGGTGATAGCGACTCATCGAAGTAGTCGACATTCGACCGCTTAGGGGCTTGCGTAGCCTTGGCCATGATGTCCACGGCCTTGTCGAAGTTTTCGTTGCGAAGCTCCATCTCGGCCCATTCGCACCACATCTCAGCCAGCTCGGAGACTGACTTGAAGGGCACCTTGACAGCCTTCTCCATGATGACACGGGCATTCTTGAGGTCGCCGCCTGATTCGTACAGTTTGGCATAGTTGGCCCAGAGCTCGTGAAACTTGCCGAGTGCCTTCTTGGGGTTGATTGCCGCAATGGCGTCGGTGTAGGTCTGGACCACCTCTTTCTTGTTGTCACCCCAAAGAGCGACGCGCTTCTCCCATTCGATGACGTTGTGCGGGTTCTGTCGAAGCATGACATCATTCAGCAGGAAGGGCCGTCTTTGCATGAGGGATTCGAAGCGGACCATCCGGATGTCAAGGTCCGCGTCAGCAGCCTCGTCGATCTTGCCCTTCTCCGACCGAACAGCGGCCTCATTGAGCTTGATGCCAATCATGGCCTCCTCAGCCTCCACGTACGTGTCAAAGACGATGGAGAAGTCGCGCACAGTCATGACTGTGGTGACAGCCTCCTCGAAGACGTCGCGGGCTTTCTCGTACTCGCCCCTGTGCATCCAGTACCGCGCCAGACCGACCCAGAGTATGCCTCGCTGATCGGGGAACTTGGAGATGCCGCTCTGGATGATCTTCTCCACGTCGATGCCGCTGTCGTCGCTGGTGTCGATTTCCTTGGCGTGGTCAATCATCAGATCGATCATCTCGGTCCAGAACTGGAAGGGTCCCTTTGCCTCCTTGCTCTTGAAGCGCGGGTTGTTGAGAATTTCCATGTACTTCTTGACGGCCTCGGTGTACTTGCGCATGTCCTTCAACAGCTCGATGAAGTCCTCGGCGTCTTCGGGGTGGATTTGCATGTAGCGGCGCCAGATCTTGACGGCCGTCTCGCCTGACGCAGACGTCGCGAACGGTCGGTAGAGGGCCCATATGCGGTTGTGCTGAGTCAGAGGCAGGGCGCGTAGGGCTCGGTCAAACGTGCGGCGGGTAGTGGTAACGAGGGGCTGCTGCATGAGGAAGTTAAGGTACATCTCCCAGATGCGCGGCATCTTGTTGAGCAGGACGAGGGCGCGTTCGAAGAGGGCGTTGACCTTGACATAGTGGGGCGCGAACTTGGCCGGGTTCTTCTTTGCGAGGTGCTTGGTGCGCAGCTCGAGGTACAGCTTCCACAGCTTGTACGAGCGCGGAAGCGTCGTGACGGCGCGCTCAAGCACAAAGGCCTGCTCCAGGATGCTCCCACGTGACTTCTTGAAGCTGTAGTAGTCGAGCCAGGGCTTCACGCTGCCGGCGTTGCGCTGGATGTCCTGCTCGTACGCGACGTCCTGGTCGGTGATGAGGAAAAGGTCCGCCGAGGGCTCCATCTTCCGCTTGGTGGGCCGCGAGAGGCTCGCGGTGACGGTCCTGAGGAGTTCGCCGGGCATGATTGCGCCAGAGCCAGGGCGTGTGTTGCCCGCGGTGGGCAGGAGGGCGATGGGGTGCGGTGTTGGACGGCTGACGAGGCGTGTCGAAGTGTTAAAGTTCTGAGGAAAGAGCCATGGTCAGCCGTCTCCTGCAGCCAATAAGCAACGTGTATTCCGAGGACCCGCTTCTCAGTGTTGGTAGGCGCGCGCGCACGGGTCTCCCATCCATGGATAGCTAGCTCCCCGGCATAGCTGCGTCACGTTCCGCTGGATTCACCTGGCCGCACTGCGCACGCTGACTGGCTCCGAGACACCTACCAGAATATCTCCGGCCATTGTCAACCTCTACCCTCGGTTTTAGCCCCATAGCCTTCTCCACCAACTGTTCGAGCCGCAAACATGTCTGGCAGCGGGGTACGCCAGCCCGAGCTATGCAATGCCCAGGACATCTGATGCTAACACGACCCTCAGGCACGAGAGGCCGTCTTCGCGACGCGGCAGTCGCTGGGTCTGATGAAGGGCAAGCTCAAGGGCGCCCAGACCGGCCACGACCTGCTGAAGCGAAAGAGTGAGGCCTTGACCAAGTATGCACTCGCTGTCTCCAGTCCACTCGTGAAGCTTTGCTGACCATGTGCAGGCGCTTTCGAGGTACGACTACGCTATATGCACCCCCACCATCTGCCTTTGTAACTGAAACCGTTTCCAGAAATAACGCGCCGTATCGATGAGGCCAAGCGCAAGATGGGCAGGGTCATGCAGGTCGCGGCTTTCTCCCTTGCCGAAGTTACCTACGCCGTCGGCGGCGACATTGGCTACCAGATTCAAGAGTCCGCAAAGCAGGCCCGCTTCCGCGTACGAACGAAACAAGAGAACGTCTCCGGTGTCTTCCTCCCGCAGTTCGAAAGCTTCACTGTCGAGCAGAACAACGACTTCGCCCTGACGGGTTTGGGCAAGGGTGGTCAGCAAGTACAAAGATGCAGAGAGACGTACGCAAGAGCGGTCGAGACTTTGGTGGAACTGGCTAGTCTACAGACTGCCTTTGTCATTTTGGACGAAGTTATCAAGGTGGTCAACCGCCGTGTAAACGCCATGTGGGTATCCTTTCCTTCCAGACAACTGCCGAAGCTAATAGCCAACAGTGAGCACGTCATCATCCCCCGTACCGAAAACACCATTAAATACATCAACTCTGAGCTTGACGAGCTCGACCGAGAGGAGTTCTACCGCCTGAAGAAAGTGTCCAACAAGAAGCAGAAGGATGCTGCCGAGGAGGAAGCCGCGAGGGTGGCGGCGAAGCAGAAGAACGAAGAGACAGAGAGTGAGGCGCGAGAAGATGCTGCCGAGAGCAAGGACATGCTGGGCGACGAGGACAACGAAGATGTCATCTTCTGAGCGCTCTACAGGCGACTAGTAGGGCCCGTCCGTGTAGTGTCGCCTGCGGCCCATTGGGCGCTGAATCCACCTCTCTAGCTCTCGCTCGCCAACGTCTCGCATGTAGACATGCACCTTCCAGAATGCTGATACGGAGTCCTTGGTCCAGGTTCCGTTTGGCATCCCGCGCGGGGCGTTTTCGACCAAGCTAAATAAGAGATAAGCATTGTGCCATTTAATGTGAACGTTGGCCTTTTGATAATAAGACTCTATTGTGCCGGCCTGTATCTGTGCCGAACAAGGTATCATAAAATGCATAAATCCATAGCAATAATCCATACGCAGTAACCTACTGTTGCCGCTGGTAGGTGACTTTCATAGGCTTGCCCTCTGCGCCGATCGGGGTGTTGGCCGTCGATTCTTTCGCTGTGATCGCAAACTGCTCGTTCTCGAACTCCGCAAAGGCCACAGCCCTGACCGAGACCAAGCGCACTTCCTTGAAGCCTTCGAAACGCTCGAAAATCGTCGTGAGGTCGTCCTCGTCGACATCGCGGGGGATGTTCTGCAGGAAGAGCGTCTTGTTGGGTCGTACGTATTCGTCGGGAACAGCGGCTGCTCCGGTTTTGGCTGCGCGAGGCTTCTCGGCGGCGACTGGGTTGGCTTGCGCTTTCGCGTCTTCTTCGGCGCGCTTGAAGTCTATGGCAGTCAGTATGGAGCACCCTCAGAAGTGGTAGGAGATGCGCACCCCTAAGCGTCAGGCGCTTCCGCTTGTGATCGTCGAACAGTTCCGGCGCCTTTCGCTTGACTGTCTCGTCGCTGTGTGTCTTCGCCCTGTGCACCTTCATGACCTTGCCGTACATCTCGAAGCCGTTCATTTCCTCCACAGCCTCCAGTGCAGCCTTCTCGCTGTCAAAGACAATAAACGCCTGTCCCTTCCGCTTCAGACTGCTCTTTGCGATAACATCCAGGATCGGACCGTAGTATTGGAAGACCCGTGTCAAGGCTTGCTTCATGGTATCGATCTTGACGCGCTCCTCGAGGTTGTTGACCTAGTACTGTCAGCAATCGCGCCACCGAGTGCAATGTGAGTGCGTTGCTGGCGCGCTCGTGGTCCAACTCACGTATATACTATATTTCTCGATTAGCATCAAGGGGACCTACCTTTTGGGCATGATCTTGCACTTACGTTTCGATGGGCACTGGGTATTTGCTGGGGTCTACGAGACCGCCGCCCATTACTACGCCCTCCATCTTGTCCGCCATCTTGAAGCGACAGTTGTGTGGGTAGTGGAGTTGTATGGCGTGGTCTCACTTACCCGACGAAGCTGTCGGGAGCTCGAATTCGAGATCCGCGCCAAGCACGCTAGGCTGCGTCCGCACGTGACGACGAACACCAGGCCCTGAGGAGTTTTGCACCTGCAGACAGCTATTCAAGGGTCGACATACAATATACCTCCAACGTCTTGAAATTCGCGAAAGCTATCACTTCTTGTCACCAAGCAGTCTGACACTATTATCGCTTCTCGTAAGTTGTAAGAGCGTTATGGATGGCCGAAGGTGTATGATTTGAGCCACCCCTCATTGTGCATTGAGCGCGTTGTTCTCTTGCTGCTGACTGCTATCGACTCTCCCTACCGATCACTGAGGCACTTAAAAAAGGCGCTTACATTCTTCATCATGAGTACTGACGTCAGCATGCGTCTGAGCTGATGAGGCTCGTGCGGAAACTTCTGCCAGATGCCTTTCCAAAACTGACAAACATCAATTTTGCATCTCGTCACGTCGTCGATTTCCAAACTATCTTTGCAATGCCACCACCAGGAATACGATGGCGATCGCACCCATTTTTCATAGTCTTCACTGTGGGAATGGGTGCGTTCGTGGACCTTTTCTTGTACGGGCTCATTGTGCCAGTACTGCCGTTCCTGTTGAAAGACCGCATCGATCTACCTGACTCTCAGATCCAAAGCACGATATCAAACCTTCTAGCAGTCTATGCGGCAGCTTCCTGCATATCTTCACCCATCGCAGGCTTCCTAGCTGACAGGTTGTTTTCGTCTCGAAAGCTACCTTTCCTCCTCGGGTTAATCCTATGTCTACTTTCGACCATTCTTCTCGCTCTCGGGCGTAGCGTCGCCGTTCTGGCCATTGCACGATTTCTCCAGGGAGCATCGGGAGGTGTCGTGTGGACCATCGGCCTTGCTATCTTGGTTGAGACCGTAGGCCGCGAGAATTTGGGCAAGACTATGGGAACTATCTTCAGTTTCATCTCAGTTTCCACCCTTGTCGCACCTATTGTCGGCGGTTCATTGTACGCGAAGACTGGATACATAGGTGTCTTTGGCGTGGCCATAGGGTTGATTGGCATAGACTTCATTTTGAGATTGCTCATGGTGGAGAAGAAGGTGGCTGAGAAATACTCTACTCCGGAGACACATGCCTCTGAACCGGATCGGAGCAACGAACAACAAGATACGGAACAAACCCCCCTTCTACCAAATGGTCCTTCTCCGCTCGATCGCTACCGTCTCTCCAAACCATCGAATCGCTTCACCCGCAATCTTCCCATCCTCATGCTGTTTCGCCATCCTGGTCTGCTAACCTCCGTGTGGATTGGATTTGTGCAAGCTCTTCTTCTTGGTTCTTTCGACGCTACTGTGCCGTTAGTAGCTTCGGAGCAACTAGGTTTTGACAGCCTGAAAGCTGGATTGCTCTTCCTACCATTGGGTGGTGCAGATTTCCTGCTGGGCCCAGTCTTTGGCTGGTGTGTCGACAACTATGGCACGAAGCCAGTATCAGTCTTTGGATTCATTTGGCTGATACCAACGCTTGTATTACTTCGACTTCCGACTGAGTCGAGTATCATCGAGAGATTAGACAACGGTCACATCATCGCGCTCTATTCTGTATTGTTAGCGATGAACGGACTCGGTCTGGCGGTTATCAACAGTCCTAGCATTGTCGAATCTGGAACTATCGTGGAGAATTACTACAAGGCGAATACAGACATGTTCGAGCAGGCTCCATTCGCCCAACTCTACGGCATCAACAGTATGGTGTGGAGCGGTGGGCTGACTGTAGGCCCACTGCTGGCTGGGTATCTACGAGATAAGATTGGGTACGGCAACATGAACGCTGTGCTCGCTGGTATCTGCGCCTTCACGGCAGTGTTAGCGGCACTGTTCATCGGTGGTAGAGAAAAGGATCAGGACGCGTCTAGCGAGAATGTAGAGTGAATTACATTTCGTATTTTTGAGTATCATATTGTAGCATTAATACACCTTCTCTCGTTACGCAGCATAACCATCGTTCAGCCACTCGAGCTGATCAGCCACGATGTCTGCTGAGAAGCTTCATCCTGCCGGCCGATGCTGATCAAGCTATTGCAACGCCCTAGTTCTGGCCGCAAGTACAGTCGTCACCCGAGCCGCTGAAGTTCTTTCCACAATATCCACAGCGGGGACCATTTGTAGAAGCAGTATTGCAGGTGGTAGTTGACACTGTAATAGTTTAGCAGAAAAGCAAGGCAGTACAGCTCAATAGGTACAATACGTACTGACTATTTTCGTTGTTATAGATTTGATGGGAAGGCTGTATGTTTGTGCTTTTGGCTGTGCAGGTGGGTCGGCGATGCTAATACTATATAGTTG